ACAATAATGCATAATGATGATTAGTCATACTGTTTAAAGCCTAAATAAAGTGTCGACTGCAGGTTTTTTTCCGTATTCCGATCTCTGCATTAGTGTCTTTTTCCGTGTCATTGTGACACGGTACCTGCAGTTTGTCTTCTATCCGAGACACTACTCTGGTAACTTGTCATTGTGACAAGGTACCTGTGGTCATTTTGTCCTGTCCGAGGTACTATTCTGGTAACGAGTCATTGCGACAAAGTACCTGTGGTTTGTTGCCCTTTCTGATGGACTATTCTGTTAACGAGTCATGTGCCAAGGTACCTGTGGCCATTTTGTCCTGTCTGTTGGACAATTCTGTTAACGAGTCATTGAAACATGTTACCTGTAGCTTGTAGTCCTGTCCGAGAAACTATTCTGTTAACGAGTCATGTGACAAGGTACCTGTAGCTTGTTGTCTTATCCGAGGGACTATTCTGGTAACGAGTCATTGTGACAAAATACCTTTAGCTTGTTGCCCTATCCGAAGGACTATTCTGTTAACTAGTCATTGTGACCAGGTACCTTTGGTCATTTTGCCCTATCCGATGGACTATTCTGGTAACGAGTCATTGTGACAAAGTACCTGTAGCGTGTTGCCCTATCCGAAGGACTATTCTGTTAACTAGTCATTGTGACCAGGTATCTGTGGCCATTTTGCCCTATCCGAGGGACTATTCTGGTAACGTGTCATTGAGACATGTTACCTGTAGCTTGTAGCCTTTACCGAGTGACTATTCTGGTAACAAGTCATGTGACAAGGTCTCTTGTCTCTTGTCCTGTCCTAGGGACTATTCTGGTAATTAGTCATCATGTCGCGGTACATGTGGCTTGTAGTCCTGTCCGAGGGACTATTCTGTTAACGAGTCATTGTGGCAAGGTATATGTAGCTTGTGACACGGTACATGTAGCTTGTAGTCCTGTCCAATGGACTATTCTGTTAACGAGTCATTGTGACACGTTACCTGTGCTTTTCAGTCCTGTACGAGAGACTATTCTAGTAACGAGTCATTGTGACCCGGGAAAGTTCATATATTTCACCATTATTTCTAATTATGGTACGGAAGCAAAGCGTGAAAAAAAGTGTTATTCCTTTGTAATGTAGAGCAAGAAATCTCAGCCATTATGATAAGATGTTTGTAGCTCACCACTCGGCAAAGCCTCCTTATGAACCAACAGTACTTATCCAAGTAACTAAGGTCAATAAAGAATACCTGTACCTTGCTGTCAGTCAGATGTTCAGGAGGGCTAACGTTGCCTCGTACTCTTTACCTTACTGACCCCTTTGGCTCTACAGAGAGTGTGTAACTGACTGTAAACCTATCTGAAAATAGGTTTATTGCCATTCTCCAACGATTGTTATTGTTGTGTAAACAACAAATTGTTGATAGGTTAATTAGCTTGTTAATTCCTTTCATTGAAAGTTTTATAATATTTGACTACTGTGTGTTGCCACGAGTATACCAATGAAATATTTCTGCGTTTTACCTTTAATGATGTCACCTATTGTTAATTCAGATGAAATACAGATAACCACCAGAAGGCTCGAATTTGCATCATCACGTAATACTACCCACGATACAAATTGCATTAAACCAACATCACAAGAATTTGGATATGAAAAACATTATTAGGAATATAAAAACCAAAACAAATCTCAAATATGAATCAGAATTCAGTTTTCATTACGTATAAAGATACATTATTATTTCGTATAAAGAAACATTATTATTTCGTATAAAGATATAGTTTTATTTCGTATATAGAAACAGTATTATTTCGTAAAACGATACTTTATTATTTCGTATAAAGATACTTTATAATTCGTATAAAGATACAGTTTTTATTTCGTATAAAGATACAGTTTTATTTCGAATAAAGAAACATTATTATTTCGAATAAAGATACAATATTATTTCGTTAAAAGATTCAGTATTATTTCGTATAACGATACTAACTTTTGACTATAAATCACACACAAAAAATACAAATCAGAAACTTATGATTATAAATAACAATTTTTATCAATTCAATTTAAATCAATGAATAACATTTTTAACACAAATTACAAGGTTAATAATATAAATCGTAAGATATATTAATTTTGCCACGTTTGTGGAGCCATATTTTGGGAAGCACGGTAGTCTAGTGGTAGGACGCCGGGCTCATGACCGAAGGGTTGCGGGTTCGAGTCACGGCACGACACTGTGTTGTTTATTTGAGCAAGATACTTTACTCCGCTTGTTCCAGTCTACTAAGCTGTGAATGAGTACGTGGTTGGGCAGTGGTAGAATTGTAGAATGCTAGTTGTGAGCGCCGAAATGGCAGCACCGGCTGTATGTTTCCAAGGGAGTTGAGAATGATATTGGCTGATTGCAAAGGCCATATAACCACGGATAATAATTTGTGAACAGCTTTGAGAAGACCTACGAACTAGGAAGTTATAAAGCGGTAAATAAGAACCTCGAATTATTATTATTATCATTATTATATTTATGATTGTATAATTACGTATCCCGTTTTCTAATATATTGACTCTGTATAGCTACCGGCTGATAACAGGTAGCTATATCGTTCCATGTCTGTCAAAACTGCAGTGACCGATTGTATATTAAGTTACTAACTAACCGTTGCATCCCGTTTGTTCTCTTCTGTTTTGTTTTTTTAATCTGATCGGTTCATAAAAAGTTAAAGATTTATTAAATCTGTATCGACGTTAAGTTCTGATATAATAATAACATTTTATATACGTATTTAGAAATGATGCTGCTTCAGTGTCCTAGCTGTGTTTAGCTCCGCGACAATACAAACTGAAGGTAGGAAATGCAAGGATTTTTCCTGATGACTTTTTACAGAGCACGTCTTCACTCAAAAGTAAGATCAATTACATTGAAACATTGTTGTGGCCGATTTAGTATGTTCAAATCTTCAAGAGTTTATGATTAATAGATTGCTTGCCTTAATAATTGACTGGGAAGTGATGTTTGTGATTATATTATATAAATGAAGTGTTTGGTATATCAATCAGCTTGACGTTCAGTATGTACATACCAAACATGCTGCCTTTGGAAGTCCGGAGAAAAAGCTAACTTAAACACCTGTTGCACGTGGAACAACGATGACTATTTAAAAAACCTCGCACGAGGTCAGGGGTGATAAATGTGTCATATAAAATGTTAAAATATATTTAAAGGCTAGCTTTGGGTTAATATTACTCTACATTATATTAGCTATTCAAAATACCATGGAAGGCATGTTTGAATTGCACTTTTTTGTAAAGTGTCTTAAGTATGGTAGGTCATATTAGGAAAATAAAGTCTGTATCATATGATTTTTATGAGAAATAAATGAAATGTAAATATGCATAAATTGATAAGATAAAACTCTAGATATAACACTACATTGATAAATCATGATAGTAGCATTTTTGAAAAACATATGGAAGATTGTTTGTTATCTTAATGTCGTTGCATGTTCATTGAAATCCCTTTTTTCTTAAATTTCATTACATCACCATGCACATTTTTCCACATTTTCATACATTTCTGTTTTATTTCGAATCATTGTTGTAATATTGATCATATAATCTAATTACAAATAGTACACAATTCAATAAATTGAGATTTATGACAAATCTCGATTACCTTCTTTGGTTGGTATAGAGGAAAATGAAATGCAATTCCCTTCATCCTCTACCTAAACCTACCTCTTCACTTTGGCCTCCATCAATTCCCATGTTTCTGTATCCCTCCGCCTCCACTTTAACCTCGACCCTTTCCCTTGTTACTGCATTCCTCCACTTTCACCTGGACACCTTCCATGTTCCTGTATCCCTCCGCCTCCACTTTCATCTCCCCCCATTTCCTTGTCCCTGTATTCCTCCGCCTCCACTCAAACCTCCACCCCTTACCTCTTTCTGTACCCCTTCGCCTCCACTTTCACCTCCACCCCTTCCCCTGGCCCAATATCCCGCTGCCTCTATTTCCACCTCCATCCTTTCCCTGTTCCTTCTTCGACCTCGACTCCTTCCCATTTACTTGCATCCCTGCGACCATCTACATCCAAGCGCCTGCTGATGCACGCTCCACCACAAACAATCCCCTGTTCCAGCATCCGGGATATTTTAGCCAAACTAGTACACACCCATGTTAATAAGAAAAGATGTTCAGTTATATCATGAGGTTCGATAACTATACCGCACCATAAGGCCATAAGGGAAATAACTCTTACAACATTAACTTGCATATTACAAACTTCTTTGCATTACTGCCCAAAACTGTAACTATGCGCTGACTTTTTCCTGACGTAACTTTAAGTAGCTTTTTACCAATCATAATTGAGAGGAAATAACATGTGTATTGATGATGTGGTACATTTTATACCGACTTGACTGCGGATTTATGTTTGTGTATTGGCGATGGAGTACGTTTTAGTGTTATCCTAGGATTAGAAAGTCTACATAAACGTTATTATTTTATTTCTTATTTCAATCAAACGGATACAAATAACAGTTCTTGTAGTTAATATCTAAACCAACTGACATTGAATATAACTACATAAGTTGATTATCATGCGCTAGATAATGTTGATGTACGGATTATAACAGGGCCTTACATCTGTGAACAGATTAAATAGAGATGCTTGTCCTTCTGACGACCATCCTCGACACTCCAGGGGTTATGCTCACTCACGCTCTCTGCATTCCTGGAATATGTCATAGCAAAATTGAAGGCTCAGTGTGATCCACCCTTGTTAATGAGACAGGAGAACTAGTTCGATCCTTTGAGGTATATCAAAAGAATCTCGCGGTCTCGTAGCGGTAAAAAATGACAGGCTTTGAAGTTTGGTGTCCCTCCTTTGTGATCTTCAAAGGACAGGTATCAGCCTAGTGATTGATTGGGTTCTTTTTCCTGAGACCAATCAAACAGTTATCTTCGTGCCTTCAATTTTGCTATAACATATTCCAGAGGTGCAGAGAGCGAAAGTTAGCGTAGCGCCTGGAGTATCGGGGATGTCTGAGGACACGCTTCACAGCTATTATTACTGTACTCTTGACTAGCACAGTACACGAACTAGCTATCGTAATTCAACATGACCGGTTTTTGTTTACATTGAAGAGTTCTTGCCTGATCGTTTACACAGGAGCCACTCATGCATGTACACACCCAACAAGGAAGTATACACATTGTATTCAATTTTGGTTGTATTGCATTAAGTTAAGCGTACTGAGTCATGACGTCCGACATGGACACGTTAGTGGGGTACTAAAGTGTTATGTACCTGTGGTGTCTGTCTACATTCGTATGTGTCTCGTGAACGACGAGGTGAGGATAGAGCACACACACCGAGTACCAAGATGGAATGGTACGGAGGTTTCATGGTACTGGTGGTGGTAACGGTATTGCAGTTTATCTTTACGATCGAGTCAGCTACGTCAGTACTTGGTACGTAAACACTGTTATATTTCGACCGTTTGTATATAATATTGGTCTGCCTCATCAATAATGTTGTTTTAGGTATACTTGTCCTCATCTTAAAGTTATCCAAGTGTATTTAGTAACACTGATACAATAGAAATATACCTGATCTCAATGTCACGGTTACCATATGTAGGTAGGTCCCAAGTAAACATGGGTGTTTAATGCATTTAACTTCCTGGGCACCTTACCCGGATACAAGGATCGAATAAGTTCTTGTTTTCAAATAAACTTAAATGATTTGACATTTACGTTAGACATAAGAATTATAATATAAAGCCAGAGTCTACTTTCTCACTTTTGTATTTAAACTTCCTTATTAGTGGTAACGTGATACTATTTATGACGTTTATATACTGTGAAAAGAAAGTCGATTACAGCCAGTCGTTAACAGATGTAACAGGATTTTAAAGTTTGCGTTACCATTGCTTTCTTTAAGAAATGTGTACAATGATATGTTATATTGATTACATCAAATAATAAGTATACTCAAGCTATTAACTAGGTGTTATATACACTGGTGTAGACTGATTATATTTATGTTATATAAACACTCGTGAAGACTGATTATCTCTATGTTATACACAAAGCTGGTGTAGACTGATTATCACTATGTTATATAAACACTCGTCTAGACTGTTTATCACTATGTTACATAAACACTCGGGAAGACTGATTATCTCTATGTTATATAAACACTTGTGTAGACTGATTATCTCTGTGTGATATAAACACTGGTGTAGACTGTTTATCACTATATTATATAAACACTGGTGTAGACTGATTATCACTATGTTATATAAACATTGGTGTAGACTGAATATCTCTATGTTATATAAACACTGGTGTAGACTGTTTATCTCTATGTTATATAAACACTGGTGTAGACTGATCATCTCTATGTTATATAAACACTGGTGTAGACTGTTTATCACTATGTTATATAAACACTCATGAAGACTGATTATCTCTATGTTATATCAACACTGGTGTAGACTGTTTATCACTATGTTATATAAACACTCGTGAAGACTGATTATCTCTATGTTATATAAACACTGTTGTAGAATATAAACACTCGTGTAGACTGATTATCTCTGTGTGATATAAACACTGGTGTAGACTGATGATCTCTATGTTATATGAACACTGGTGTAGACTGATTAGCTCTGTGTTATATAAACACTCATGAAGACTGATTATCTCTATGTTATATAAACACTCGTGAAGACTGATTATCTCTGTGATATATAAACACTCGTGTAGACTGATTATCTCTATGTTATATAAAC